GGACATCAATTATCACCTAGGTGCCCCCCAACACGGAGGGTCACCTTCCTTCGACATGGGTATCCCTGATGAAGAGCGAGCTAATCATCAAAACATTGATCAACATGAGACTTCTCTCAACTCAGCTGCTTCGACCCGAAGCAAGAGAAGTGGAGGAAGACACCTCATTGCAGAAGGGTTGGAAGGATCGAAAGCCGTTTATCGTGACTGCCGAGACTTCCTAAAGCAACGTCGAGAGAATCCCCTCCACATATGCTCGAAGATTAATGACCCAAGGGTTTCTGAAAGACTCGGTCCCCTCCCACGACCCAGGCCAGCTGCTAATCTAGGGAAAGAACGACAGGTCCCAGAGGAACATGAAAGTACATGTGACTCTGAGGTATTCCAACAGACTTGCCCTAGAAGTCAGTACGGCGAGTTCAAGGAAAAATCACACGCCCTTGCTCAAACTTTCCTACTTCCAAGAGGCTATGAAGACTTACGAAAGAAAATCCCAGTGGTACATGACTCCATTCAGGACCCCCTTGTCCTACAGCTCCTTGAGGAAGTAAACAAGTTGAAGGCCGAACGTTAGGCCGAGATACCTGACTGGAACCAACCCAGGCCTGACCCTCTCACAAGGAGGATCCTCGACACCCCCTTCAAGCGAAGACAAAATAAAAGCTTGGTTTACAACTCTATACTAGAAGGGATGACCCAATTGAACACCTTAACCTTTTTAAGTCCACCATGGCATATCAGATGCACACCGACGAAGAGCGATGTCTTTTCTTCCCCTCCACCCTCTCTGGTGGAGCTCTAAACTGGTATTGCCGTCTTCCACCTAAGACAGTAGACTCATTTGAGGAACTGAGGAAACTGTTTGTCTCTCAACACATCTTCCAGACCGATCGCTTACATTCTGTAGATGACTTGTACACTATTCGCCAGAAGCCAGACGAGTCATTACATATGTATGTTGGCCACTTCAGCCATGAGTATTCCAGTTGTGCCGAGGCAGACGACAAGACTGCCCTCAAAGCCTTCACGGCAGGCCTACGTGACTGTTTCTTCAAGTACATGATCAATGCCAACACTTGGAAGACTTACTTTGAGGTGATGACACAGGCTTACAACCATGCCTCCGCCGAGGCAATGACATATCAAGGGAAACCCCCCACAGCCACCCCTTATCAGCAAGTAGGGAGTAGAAGCCAGATCCAACCAAATGAGAAGACCTCGACCTTCCAAATGGCAGCGGTGCCTCCCCCTGCCTTACTTAATACTTTGCTAAGTCAACAGACATATCAATCTCAAGGCAAAAGGAAAGATTTCCATCCTCACCAGTCTCATTTTAGTAAAAGGAGTAAGGGACGCTACCGCGATAACCAAGGGTATCGCCATGATAATCCCCGACCCCAGGCAGTCAACACAGTGGGTTAAGCACGTGTCAGGACAACCCCTACCCCGAGGTATGAGGCATACACACCCTTGAACACCACATGCGTGGCCATTTACCCCAGCATAGCACACTTGATACCGAAGCCAAAGTCGAGGCACCCAGATTACAAGCCCACGAAGAACACGGGCACATTTTGCTGCTACCACGAGCATAACGGCTATGATGGCGAGAAATGTATCACCCTTCGTGATCATGTTGAAGCTTTGGCACGTGAAGGAAAAATTGATCAATTCCTCCTTCACCCTCCAAGGGGTAACCGTAACCAATGCCAGGTGAATGTGATATACTCCATAAGTGGTGGCACACCCATATCTAAATCTTCCAACAGGGCCATGAAAAATAGTGAACGAGCTTTAAAGTCTGGCCACCAAGTGTTTCACGTGGAAGACATCAGGGGAGGTAAGTATCAAAAGCCTAACTGGGATCCAATATGTTTCTACCCTGAGGAAGAAAGAGGTATCATCTACCCTCACAACGACCCATTGATTGTGAAAGCTCACATAGCCAACTTTGAAGTACAACGAATCCTGGTAGACACGGGGGCTTCGGTCAATATCATGTTTGCTGAAGCTTTCAGGGTGCTTAATGTAGTTGAACACTTGCTCGATCGCTCGATTTCCCATCTGATAAGCTTCTCCGGTGATATCGTGCAATCTTTGGGGAGCATACATTTACCTTTCACCATTGGTACATGCCCTTACACAACTACCATTACCACTAACTTCCTGGTGGTTGATTGCCCAACGGCATACAATGTCATCTTGGGACGCACATGCATCAATGATTTCAAGGCCATGATATCCACACATATGTTGTTGATGAAATTTCCAACCCTTTATGGCAATGGTTACATCATAGGAGATCAACTTAGTGCACGATCATGTTACAACACTTCGGTCAAGCAACAACACTTGCATGTGCCCAAGGAAACCCTTTCTATACAAGACCAAGTCATAAAGACCAGCCCAGACGAAGCCAACTTGGATCTTCACGGTGGCAACAGTCAACCCGACGATCCTCGAGATGACTCTTTCACCTAGCAAGCACAACCCGCTGAAGAGTTGGAGAAGATCTCTATCTCAAAAGATTATCCGGATCGTATAGTGAAGATTTGCACCACCTTGTCACCACCCATTTGGTTGGCATTGATCTCTTTTTTACAAGAGAACACTGAGGTATTCGCTTAGTCATACGAGGACATGCCAGACATCTCTCCCAATATCATCTGTCATCGCTTAAGTATTGACCCCAAGACCAAGCCAGTGAGACAGAAGCGAAGATCCTATGATGCTGAATGGTACGAGGCAATGAAGGCAGAAGTTGAAAAACTCAAAGGCATAGGCTTCGTCTGTGAAGTCAATTATCCAATGTGGGTAGCAAATGTTGTCCTTGTTAAAAAGAATCTGACCAAGGAAAGTCTCATGCTCCAAAAGATCTTGTGGAGAATGTGTGTCGATTACACCGACCTAAACAAAGGATGCCCGAATGATAGCTTTCCTCTTCCTCTCACAGACAGACTTATAGACTCTATGGCAGGGTGTGAACTTCTGAGCTTCATGGATGTTTACTCAGGATACAACCAAATCCTCATGAACCCTCAGAACCAAGAACACACAGCCTTCACTACTGACAGAGGACTATATTGCTATAAAGTCATGCCCTTCGGCCTAAAGAATGCAGGAGCAACTTATCAAAGACTGGTCAATTTAATGTTTACCGAACATATTGGAAAGAGCATGGAAGTTTACGTTGATGATATGCTAGTCAAGAGCAAACATGCTGACCAACATATCACCAACATATCTGAAACTTTCACCATTTTGAAGAGGTATCGAATGAGGTTGAACCCCAACAAATGTGCCTTCGGCGTAGGCTCTGGAAAATTCTTAGGCTTCATGATAAGCCAACGAGGCATTGAGGCTAATCTTGAGAAAATCAAAGCAATCATCGACATGAAGGAACCGGTAACTTCAAAAGACATCAAGAGCCTTACTGGCAAGGTGGCAGCCTTAACTAGGTTCATCTCTAAGGCCACAGACAGATGTGCTCCTTTCTTCAAAGCACTTAAAGGAAGTAAGAAGTACATTACATGGACTGATGAATGTGCTGAGGCATTCAAGAACCTCAAAGACTACATGAGTAAAGCCCCTTTGCTCTCTAAACCTAAGGTTGGTGACACTCTCATTATCTATTTGTCGGTATCGACTTCAGCAGTAAGTTCCGTTCTCATTCGAAATGATGGTAATGTCGAACAGCCTGTCTACTACGCTAGCAAGGCCTTACAAGATGCGGAGACACGATACTTCTAACTTCTTGAAAATAACAATACGTAGGGTAGAAGTGAGCAGAACAATATAAGGTATCAAGAAGTTTTCCTACCGACAAAAGATTGCACTTAAGATCAGGAACAAGTAAAGCACGGACCAATGATAAGGTTGGAGTCAGAGAGATAATGCCTTCACCCTTCACAGGGGAATGTGCTCTATTTGCACTAGTAACATACGGATCACAAACATAGTCACATAACTCATCAAACACTCTAGGGTCACTAGTCACATGATCAGTGGCCCCAGTATCTATTATCCATTTATTTGTTCCACCAAGATGCATAACAACACTATGATTATATTGAGTCATTGAACAAAAATCACGAACAATAAAGGCACAAAAGATACGCAGCGGAATGAAAACAATTTACCAGATACTGTAGCAGAGCACTATTCACGCACTGTAGCAATCACTGACCACTGTTCACGCACTGTACTGTAGCGCGCCACTATTCACTTTTTTTTTTTAACGAAGAAAATCACAAAAAATGTGGGCACAAAATTAAAGCACACAGGTCACCAAGAACGAACTACTCTGATGCCATATTGAACTGAACATGGTAAATACCAATATTAAACTAAACATGGTAAATACCAAAAATATATATGACAATATTTGGGAATTTCTTATATATTCATTAATCTCCAAAGTGGAGTATATATAGGAGTTACAATTTGTATTACATATGTACTTTACCAATGTAGGACAATAAACTACTATTTACACTCTACCTAATATATAACTCGCAACATATTTGATTTTTATTTTTAAATTAAGAATTAAAGAAAAATGGAGTACCTTAGGACCCAGCTCCATTTGAATCGGCGGCTATGTATAATATCATGTCCTTTCGAAAGCTCTAAACGTGGAAAGTTTTTTTCTGATGCGAGTGAAGAAATTTCAGCCACGTTTCTGATCTCAATTCCACCTAAAATCTCCCCACACCCACACTCTTTAGCAATGAAACACACTAGGATTGGTTCTCTGAGTAGATGCTGGCAGGTTTTTATTTTATTTTTTGTTTTTGTTCAATGAGGGGAGAAATCCGACTCAAAGCTTCAAGTGTAAGAGTAAATGTTGTTAACCACCTATGATACATACAAGTTGCACGAACAAAACTAGTTGGCTTATAACTTAATCGAGCCAATACATAAACTTTTATGTACCAGCATCAAATATCTTCTAATTAGGCAATTATTAGTTCAGAATCATTAGTATTAGACAGGCAATCAAACAGTTAACTCATAGAACAATGTTTCCATTTATCGGTCAATCGCATCATTATCTGGTTACTCCCTTAGCTGTAAAATAACGATTTACATGACCCAGCTTAAAAGGGGAAAAATAACCCTCTAATTCCACTAGTATATTAATTTTACAAAGTATGTAGAAGAAGAAGAGAAAGCCAAAGAAAAAGAAAAGAAAAAGAAAAAAAAAATCTGTAGGGCTGTTACTGCTGTTTCCAAGGAAGACATGTCAGCTTACTGCAAGACCCAGTCCAGGTACTTGTGCATTCACCTCCATCACAACACTCGCAAACTATTCCAAGTGTACCAAAAACCTTCGCATATCCTGCAATTTATTCACACAAGACATCTAACTAAGTCAATTCAATTATATCCAAAATCAGAAACTGTAATCTGTGATTTCTCCGGTAGCGGTATTTCAAACCAAACCCTTCATGCATAACAATACGTGATTGGCTTAAAATACCGCAACAATGGATGAGTATCTCTCAGAGTTTGGGAATACATGTTAGACGTAACGTTGCTTGAAATTCTTACCTTGTTGTGGCAAGAGGGAGAGTGGTCTTCCTTCAGCAGCTGAAGATTTCCCAGATGCAAAAACAACCACCAGAAGCAACAAGAAAGGAAGAAGAGAATACTTTGGAAGGCTCATATCTGTGCTTTTTTCCCAGCAAGATCTGTGTGCTTTTTGCAGCTGCAGAAAGTCTAGGAATTAGTAATGGTAGTGGGTTCCGAAGTAGATATTTTAATTCCAACTAGAAAAAACATATATAAGGTACAAAGGTATGGAAACACATGAGATAACAATGAAGGGTTTATTATATTTGAAATGTCTCTGTCAATCTAGAAGGTAGGTGGTTTTTTGTGTTTAATTCTCTTGATTTGGAGGACTAAAAAGAAAAGATGGGCTTCTAGAGAAAACGCAGGTAAATGTTTCACACGTTTCCCGGATTCTTACGTCTCTGCAGGTTTTGGAATTTTACATGGAATTGCATGGAAGCTTCCTTCTTCATTCTCACTCCTAGTTTTTCTAGGTGGCCGACTTTAATCATCAGAGAAACTCTCTTGTAATAAAAAAATATTACGAGTCAAAAGTTCTTTAAATCGGAGGTATTCTTTTTAAATGTCAAACATTTATTGAACAAATAATACCACAAAGTTTCTCTTGTAATAAAAAAATATTACGAGTCAAAAGTTTTTTAAATCGGAGGTATTCTTTTTAAATGTCAAACATCTATTGAACAAATAATACCACAAAGTTATGTATTTCTTTTTTCTTTGTACAAACGATATTTTACAGTAATCTGAACTATAGAGATGAATATCCGAACTAATCTCTGCATCACCTCGACAACCTGAAAGAGACTTGCACCATTTTAAATGCTGCCATGATAACGCAATTTCATGTGAAAACGCTCTTGATCCAAGATGCCAAGCGACATCTACAAGGGCCCGTAGATGAGGCCATCATCGTTTTGGATTTTCATGGTCTGATGATGGTTGTTGAGACAGGTGAGAAACTGGCTTTACATTTTCTTCAAAGGATAGACTCGTTTCAAAGGAGCCAAAAACAGATTACATATGCAGCTCGTCAGCCTCCACGTAAGGGGCGAGGGCATATGATACTTGTAGTCTATTTTTCTTAGGAACTAGAAGGAAGGGTGGTGAAAAAAATGCAATACATCATACACGACACTGATATCGTTTGGAAAGGGCTAAAACCGCTTTCAGATAACCAAAAGTTCCTCACAAACGCAAAACCGAGGATAAGGAGTGGAAAATTTTAAATATACAGACAACATATATGATACTCCTATGAAAACCCTGTCGTTTACATTTACATAGCAACTTGCATGCCAAACAAGAAAGGAAAAAGAGAGATCCTCTGTCAGCTCCTATTAGTACTCGAGTTTCTTATTTGATGACAAACTACTTATGGCTTGAACAGCATATCTAAATGAAATCTGAGCCGCTCCCGAAATGCTCCAGGTCTGGATGAGTGCCACCTCCCGGCGGCCTCCGTGGATTCCTGGAAGACGTAGAAATCACACCATATTATACTCCAGTGAAGGTATTATTGGAAACTTTGCATCTATCATTCATTATTTGTTCACTTCCCAAACACCGTAAACAATTGTACATCCATTTGGAAAGTAACAGTGAAAACACAGGTAATAATCTCAATTCACCATGACGGATTAAGTACGATCAAAGGCCTCGAGTGAAAAAAAAAAAAGGCTTGTTAAACTTAAAAATAATGAAAGCTCTATCAGGTGGGAACCAGGGAAGAACCTAATTTCAATTTTAGTGAAACTTTGCTATTCCACGTACCTTGCAAATCGATTAGGCTCAAAACCTGGAACACCTGGGGGCCCATAGGGATCAAAACGAGCACCTGGTGGAACACCTGCTGGCCTAGAGGGATCAAAACTAAACCCAGGGTCTCCAACGCCACCAAACCAACGAGGGTCATGGGGTCCTATTTTGACACAACGAATGAAATATGAGTCCCAATAAAAAAAGTAATGTGATTATTATCAGCACAATAAGAGTAAATAAGAATTGTACAAACCTACAAGCATGCTTCCACTACCATCACCCCTGAAAGATTGACATAACAAGCATGTTGTCAAATGTCGAACAGTAAAACAGTAAAACAGTAAAACCGGGTTTGAAAATGCAATGACCACCAATATGATGTCTTGTTGAAATACGATACCTTGAAGGGTAGACTCCAGCACCAGGCCCAGGAAGAACATCACTACCACCATAAGGCATGACAGGAGGATACGCAATTCTGCAAAGCAAGCCAGAAAACATAGAGTAAACTGCATGCTTTGGAAACTTTCAATGATACAAATGAAAATTTTAAGCATGACGCTGCTAACTCACTCCGATCACAACAAAAAAGACATATTGCCATGACTGTCTACTTTCTTCCTAACAAAGTCAATGCAATTCCCAAACTCTCTTAACAACTAACCTCTAATTAATCTGAATGAAAAACTTTTGAAAAAAATTAAAACATCTAGGTTCCTCTTACAAGGTAGAATAGGATGCCATTTTACTAATAATCTTTCAAGAAAGAAAGTTTTGATTTATTTATATTTTAAATCTATAAAATGATAATTTGAACCTCCTAGGCTCCTAGTTATTTCCTTACAAATTGATGGGGAGACTTAAGAAGTAAAAATAATCTTCCAAATTAGATAATGAAAAGAGTATACGATGCTATAAACAGGAAAGCATGATACATAACTAGTTTTAGACTCTTGAAAAACCTAAGCCAAGTCTCACATACAAATGCCTTACAATCTAAGCTACTAATCCCATCTCGACTTAATTAAACATACTGAAATGAATCTAATAGATGGACCCTCTAAAATTGAAAATTGATAAGATGTTGGTCTCTTGGCCAGTCCCAAATGGTAAAGGCAGTAACACTGCTCTACAAGGCGATGAATATGACATACCTTGTCAACAGACGAATTCCCAAGATGGAGGACCATCAGCGTCAATGATTATCAATGTGACATTAACTTTGGAATGTATAGACATCAACTAGTTGCTCCATTTTGTTAGGGACTGAATCAATGTCCCCCTCTTAATACCACAACAAACATATATTATAACAATCTAGGGAGGGTGTAACAGGCAGGTAGCAACCAAAAAAGGGCATGTAAGATTTATCAAAGAAACAGACTTTATACAAAACCCAAAGCATAAGCTAGCAAAACTTAACAAACATATAGACCGCTTAGAATCACACGTACAGAGACATAAAATACACATATGCAGAGAGAGCGGGAGAGAGATACCCTGAAGGATCAGTGTAAGGGGCTGAAGGTCCAGTGTGAAAGCGTGAAGGTCCAGAAACAGACTCAGTTGTTGATCTCTCACTCTTTTCTGAACTGCAAAGTTCCATAACAAAAAGAAACTAGTCCGTAAAAAGAACATTCACTGATACTTAAACTATATACCGATAAATTAGCATAACAATTAACGATGACTATTTTAGCAGAGTATTAATACACTTCTACATCAAATAATGCATGCAAAACTCAGATTAAAAACAAAAAAGTCAGCAGAACCGAAGCGATTCAAAGACAAAACCCAGTTACCTTACAGGGTTAATTGAAGAACCGGATGTGGACGATCCAGACCCATATAATTTTGACAGAACTTCAGTATCCAATTTCTTCACCAGATTCTCTAAATTCTTGAACTGTGTGGAGTAATTGCTGCCCCCATCCTCTCCAACATAATCACCAACACTGTAATTTGTTTCGTTAACCGCAGAAAACCCATTAACAAGCAAGAATAAAACTACCAAATTTGTAAAAGCCCAAAGAATCGCAGCAGAAGCTTACTCGATTTCGAGATGGACGGGCTGAGAGCTCCCATCAGCCAGTGCATCCACAAGCAACTTGCCGTTCATCGTAAGGCACTTAACCAGCACCTTCTTCGAGCCCTTTTCTGGGTTCATATAGACGAATGCGTACTCGCCGTCGAGCTCGTTCCACTGCTCCATGCCCACTTCATCTGCAACCCCAAATTAACAAAACCCACAAAAATTTGAGGAAAACTATCAATTATTTCTAAGAAAAGTTAAACATTTATCGAAATTAAACAAGTGGGTACCCGTAGAAGATGAGGAGAGAGCGGATTCGGAGAAGGCAGGGGGACCGGCGGCGGTGAGGACGTAGCCAGCGGCGAGGAAGGAGGCGTGAACGGCGAAAACGACCTTGTCGTCGTTGTTGCGGAAGTTCGGCCTCGCGGCTCTGATTACTGCCATCACCGACTTGTCGTTCGCCATGGCTGTGTGAATCAGTGCGATTGATCGGTGAGCTTTTCTTGTTGCTTTTTCTTTTTTTTTTTCCTTCCGCGAAAGGAAATCCTTTGGGAAACTGGAAGGACGAAGGACGGAAGAGACGAGGGTGTTCGCCGTATAGTGAATATAGATTTGGGCCCAATGGAGTCGGTAGCGGCCCCGTATATTTCAAACGGTCGGTTAAATGGGAAAACAGTAATTTTCATTCTTTTTAGGAAAAATACTTCAAAATTGGACAATTTCTTAATCTTAGGATATAAATATGATATTTTGAATATGCACACGGCATGCACAATAATCGGACAGAAATAAGATTTTTCATATACCTTAAAATGACCAAATTGTCTTCCCATATAAATAGGTTATCTAGAAATTTCAACTCTCATTTATCATTTTGTAAAGAGAGAAACAGAGAAAAGAGAGAAATCTCTCTCCCACAATTCTAGTTCAAAGAACCCTAAGCCACCCATCTTCTTCATCCAAGAGCTCTTCCATCTTCTTCATCCAAACTCTCTCTCTCTCTCTCTCTCTCTCTCTCTCTCTCTACATTTTGAATTTCGAATATGCTCAAGAACTCTCTCTAACCCACTCATCTTCGATTTTTACCTTTTCATTTGTAGGTTTGTGAATTGGGTTTGCTTAATTTTGCTTTTTGATTGATGGATTTATGGAGTTGTCGGTTTGGTGTTTTTTTTTTTAGGAGACTCAAATCCTTCAATTTTGATTTTTGATTTTTTATCATTTCTCTTATTTATATGTGGGTTTTCATTTTTTCTGTCTTCTCCCTCCCTCTGCTCCCTCTCTCATTACAAGCACTAAAATAGGGTTTGGCTTTTGCTGCAATTAAATGAAAAAAACGTATTAAAAGTTAGTTGCATTTTGGAGAAGAGATAAATTTGAGGGAAAAGAGACAAATCAAAGTGAAAAGAAGGAAGAGAGAAGGATATGGACGAAATTGTTTCACGCACTCGTTCGCTTT